ACAGCCAAGATAAGAAATAGAAGCTTCCCTACTCTTTCTTTTCAACCAGAGACATAAAGAAGCAGCTGTGTAATTTGGGCTACTGGTCTCCAAGTGTGGGTCACAGGAACTGACTGTGGACTCTTGACCTCTGGTTATAACCATGTCTTCTATTTTCTGTATCTCGAACTTTGGCCAGATTGGATGCATTTCAGCTCTAAAATTCTTTCTTCACTGTACTGCAGTAGGAGATATTGTTGTGTAGTGGTTAGGATGGTGAAATTTGTAATTAGACTTGGATTTTAAACCTGTCTATGCCATTAGTAACTCTATAAGTTAGTTAAATCACTTCTGTGAGCTTCATCTTTTTCACCTGTCTCTAAGTGTTTATAAGACACATAAAGAGAAACATATTTAATAAATGATTATCATTATTGTGCTATCATCTTGCATGTAAGTAGGTTATCAAGAGCCAGTGAGATTTTCTCTGGATATTGATTTTTATAAGCAATCCCTATCGAATCCCTTTGGTTCAAAAACATATATGAGTCATCTGTCATGTAAAATACTTTCTCAATATCAGAGCTTAATGTGTTGTCCACTCATTTTACAGAGGTGAAAACTGAGGCTGAAATAAGTAATGCATTGTATCTTGACATCACAGAGTGAGTTAGTTAATAGCAGAGCTGGCACTGGTCCCCCTTTCCTTCAATAGTGCCAATTCTCATTCAATGGAGGGATTTCCACTTAAGGGAGATGCAGACATTCCACATTTCTTCCTTGTCCTGGCCAAAAGTAATCAGTCTACTAGAAACTTCCATGGGTTAAGCACGAAAGGCTCTCCCTTCATCAATGTCATACCTTGGGAAACTATCTCCAGTGCAGATAACAGAAAGAATAAATATTTTTGTTGAGAGAAAAAAATGAAGACAAAGGTCAAAGGGAATCATGTAATGGGTTGAGTCAGAGAAGAAAAAGAAAGCATTTTTTCTCTCTCCTCTTTTTCTCCAAAACAGTCTTTATATAGAACTTGCATAAGAGCCAACTTATTTGATATGGAAAAAATGTGAAAGCAGTAAAATACAGACATACACACACACACACACACACAAAGAGGTATTTGAGGTGGGGTTCAGAATTCAAACTACCAAAAGATAAAGAAGTTGAAATGGTAGGTTGAATCAGAATGATGTATTCTTCTATTTTTCAGAATCTTAGGGAACATTCAGGTTAGGAAGCCCAGCCCAGCTGAGCCCAGTCCAGTTCTTCAAGGAACTTGTTGGGACTCAAGAGAGACAAAGAGGAAGCCCAGTCAATGCCTTGGTTTAGCTCTTGTGTCTGTCATTGTAGGGACTAAATAATTATTTACCGAATGAAAGAAAACTGTGCATAAGAGAATGGACCAGAATAGTGGTGACTTTGGAAGCAAATTGGCATAGGACTTGGCATTTCTTATCAAGTGGGTTAGGTCCTCAGTACTCAAGTTGAGTGACTTCAGGAAAATAACCCATCCAAGTCAACATTATAATTCCAGATTATTGAAAAACCCAGATTTGTTTAACAATGAACTTAAAAGATTGTGCTGTCTGAAGGTAGAAGTGGATATGGAGAAAATTGCAGCTGAGATTGCACAGGAAGAGGAACAGGCCCACAGAAGGCAGGAGGAAAGGGAAAAGGAGGTACAGAGCAAACTGAGTGTAGTCAGAGCAGTGCTGGTCCTGAAGAAGAACAAAGCCTAGGAAAAAAGGATGACAAGAGAGTGCCAATGGAGACAAAGAAGATACGCCTTGAAGAGATGACAGAGAGCCAACAGAATGGGGAAGAAGGCTTGTCTACTTCTGAGGACAAGGAGAAGGTCAAGAGGGGGGGTCAACATAGAGGAGGGAACCAGTGGTAGTAACACTGGCTTGGGAAGCAACAATGCAACAGAGAAGGAGTCAGTGGCAGACCCAGTACCAGAAGACAAGAAAAGAGAATAAATGTTGTCTTGTTTTATGTGTTTTAAATACTTGTTTAAACAAAGAAGTGTTTTTGGTTTAAAAAAAAAAAAAATCCCAGATCCCCAGATTTTGGCATATATCAATAGAATGCTCTCAATATATATTTGCAAAGTGAATGAATTTTTCTGTCAGTGAAAGAGACCTTGGAGATTCCTGGGCTGTAGACAGCACTTATAGCAAGGTATCTCAAACTTTAACCAGCATCAGAATCATCTGGAGAGGCCCTGCATTTGGAGCTGCTGGTTTATCAGACTGGTCTGGAACCTAAGAACTTGATATTTGGAAGTTTCCAGGATGCTGATGCTGCTCTGGGGCCAAACTTTGAGAACCAGCTTTAGTGCAGTGTTTAATAAACTTAGTTGCACATTATCACCACCTGATGAGATTCAAAAAATCCTGATGGTCAAGTCTTGCTTTAACAATTAAATTAATGTAGAGATGGGGATATGAAGAGTGGAGGGGGAATGCAGGTGAGATTCAGAAAGTTTAAAAATACCCCATATTTGGGGGCTGGTTGGTGGGTGGTGGTTAAAGGTGCTGGATTCCCATATGTCCGACCACAGTTCAAGTCCTGGACCTGACAACTTGCATCCTTGCTTTCATTTTCTCTCTCTGTCTCTGTCTGGTCAAATTAAAAAAAAAAATAATGATAGAAAATGGAATTAAATAAAAAATTCTTTAAAAAAATCCCATAATTTTGAAATGTACAACTAAGTTTAAAAACTACTAATCCCTACTTCCTCCTTGTAGAGTTGCTCCATCAAAGATCAGGAAGGGCAAAGTGAGTTACCTCATAATATAAAGCAAAGTATTGCTTAACTAAGAATAGAACTTGGGGTGCTTTTTCTTCTTCAGTTTAATATCTTCCACTCCAACTGTATCAACCCATGTCAGCTCTTACAGGCTCATAACTCCAGGCCCCCAAAAATAAAAATAAAAGCTGTGTTTAAACTAGGGTTTTTAAGATATCTATCATTTCACCCTTCTACTGCTTTACAAAGAGATTTTAAGTGAATGCATATTTATAGAACTTTACCACTCTAGACACATGAGGAGATGGGAGAGACAGGGTTATGGAATATTTTTAAGGCAAGATGATCCTTTAAATTTTAAGTACATTCTCAAATACAAACCAAGTGCTCTGTCTGAGTTCTTAAACAGATGTTCTTCATCTCTGATTCAATGAATGGGCAAGTTTCCTTGTGATGTGCACATTTATTGCTGGCATGTAAAAGGAAGTGCTGGTAAAGTATTTTAAAGTGGTTCTGTCTCTTAAAGAGATTAAAAGTTTCCTTCAGAACTTGGTTTCCACTAACGATTGACTTAGTAAATATTTTCAAGTAGACAGAGATTGTCTTAAATCATCTTCGAACCAACTCAAGAACCATAAAAGGTCTACAGAAACCATTGACTTCAACATTTTCATCATACAGAGGAGGAAATTGAAGCACAAAGAGATTGACTGATTTATTTAACACTAATAAATGTACTCCCTAGGGAAAACACAAGGTGTCTGTCTTCTGACCATTTTTCAGGGTCCGTATTCAAAAGTACCCCTACCAATGTCTCTTACACCTGGTAGCTAATGACTGCCTGAATAAATTTTTGATACCCAGATTAGGTGGCTAAGACTCTATTATTATTTATATCAGAGTATACATTGGATTGCATATTTAATTGAACACTAGCTGAGTACAATGTTTTAGGAATTGGGATGGAATTCCAATTCTGATCTTGCCACTTCCTAATTGTGTGATCTGAGACAAGTGATTTCACATCTCTCAACCCTAGCTTCTCTCTTTGCAAAATGAGAATGACAATAGGGTTGTGGTTATGGAGAGGGTAAACTGAGTAAAAGATTCAAAAACCTTAGGCAATTGGTAAATAGGAAAAGTACTAATGTCTTCATTATGAGGTGACCTTCCTCATAAACATAAATTCTAAGGGTATTTGAAGAATAAGTGTTCAGAAGTGGCCTGAGAAATATGAGAGAGTTATCATATAGTACATGGAAAAATGTGTATTATGAAAAAACTCTGTAGTAGTCAGCAGGTAGTATGGTGGTTAAGGCAGCTGGATCCCACATGGCCAACTGTGTGATTAGACTCTTGTACCTGGCAGCTTGAAAAACACACAAGGTACATATGTGTGCACATCTAAAATCCCAAGAGAGGAATGGGAGAGCAGGGATTGCAGTATGGCCATCCCCTCTGGGGGGTGCTTTCTCATTTTCTGTCTCTCTCTCCTTGGGTGACCACACATGTCCTACAGCAAACAAAAAAACGTGTATATGGCTTTCAATTTTTGTTGCACCAAAATAAACTCATAGTTTAATTCCAAATTTTTTACAAACTTTTTGAAGTCACCGCACAAACACTGAAGTCAGGCAACTACCTCATATTGAAACAGTGAGTATCCAAAAAGAATCATAGAGATCTAGAGCTGCAAAGACCCTTAGGATCAAGTGAGTCTGAACCTGTTTCACCTCAGGAAATAAGTCAAAATTAAGGATTGCGACTGATTATGTTTATCTTTCTGCAAAATTCCCATGCAAATACCCAGGAGAGAGCTCAGTTCCCAACCAACATATGATTACCTCATCCCCTGAAAAGGCAGTCACAATGCATGAATCTTCTTCAGCTTAACACAAACTGAAGTTTTTAGCAAACTTTAGTTCTTCCACTTTTTTTTTTTAGAAGTAAATGATGTTCTTGTTTTAGTATCATCCAACCTCTTCATTTACTGTTGGGAAGGCTAAGTTTCTGAGAGATCAGTGAGGCTTAGGGTCACATATCAGAATTGTTACCAAATCCAGGTCTCCTAGTTTCATGCTCATCACTTCTCCTACCATACCAACTCTGCTTTGCTAAGATGATTCACACCTAACATTGGGTTACAATCTCTAGAAGTGAGTTTGGCTTAGAGGAACCTTCTTTTTACAATTTAGGCCTCTTTGACCCTCTTCAGATCCTTCTATAGCCTACCCACTCTGTCATCTCCCCATCTAAAGAGTGTACTTACATGTCTGTGAATCTTCTATTAAGGTGCAGGATGGAGGCCACATCCACTTGTAGCGGAGGGTCCCGGATCACCTTATACTGCAAGGGCTTACACTCTAGGCAGAGTGGGCTGTCTGCAACGGAAGTCAGCATGGCTGCATCAATTTCCAGGTGCTCATCCAGCGTGTAGATCTGTATGCCATATACCTCCTCACCCACATCACGGAGTCTGATGGTCAGAGGGACATCACAGAAGACATTCTGAGGGCCCAGGGAGATGTTCTTCCCACTGATAGTCAACAGTTTGATGTCATTGACAGCTCCACTGGAGTCCCAGTCAGTGGAGACAAAGGTCACCCATATGGTCAAAGACTCAGGGACCAATGGATAACGGAATTCCAGCTCGAGGTAGCAGCCTTGTGGCTCAGGACAGGCTGGAGGAACCGTGTGTGGGTTGACAGCTGAATTTGGGCTCCAGGTACGAACACTGGACTTACAAGGCTGTTCAACATCTGGATGACCTACGGAGGAAAGAGAAGGGTATGAATTCTTCAAGAAAGATCTTCATGCTGGTCCTCAGAGTATTTTACAGACCTCAAGAGAGACTTGTCTGACTAGAACTTAGAGGAGAAAAGAAGAGGGAGGATCGTCAGTGTCTTGGTGAATCTGCTGTGTACATAGCATGCAGCTTGTTCCTACTCCTGCAAAACAGATTTCAGATGAATCACTAAACATTTGATCAAAATTACATTCAAGTACGTGTCTTGCTAGTGAGTTGATGCTCAAACATTCCTCTCACAACTACTTGGAGGTTTTCCTGTCTATGATAGAAAGAACAAAAGGACACATATTTGCCAAACACTTGATTTCCTATGATTAAAAAAAAAATCTTGCCAGGACTCATTTCGGGAGTGAGAAAACTAAGTCTCAGAAATATGGACTGAATTACATGAGGTCATGCAGCTTGAAATGTAAAGGTCAACATTAGAACCCAGTTTAGGTTCACTCTTCAATCTGCACTCTTTGTTCTGTCTGTACTGGATGCATGGGCTACTAAATTAAATTTAGGTCCCTGTGTATTATTGCCTTTGCTACAGCCCACTTGGACTAACAGAAATACCACAAAAACCCCAGCAAAGTGGAGTTGATCATGGAGAACACCTACTCCTTGGACTGAGTATCTGGGAAGAAACCATCTAGAACCATGAATAGAAGAGTTGGAAGGTAGCTCTTGAGCCATCTTATTACTCCTCCTCTCCTTCCCTACATGAGATCATTTCATAACAGAATGCTTCCCCATGGTCTGTCCAGTCTGACTCAGGAAGGGGAGGGCTGGATAAGGAGAGGAAGGGAGGAAGGAGGGATTCTTCTACTCTTTC